GTAACTTGTTGGCAATTGTTTTGTAGATCAACTAGGTGCATTGAAAAAAAGTATCCCGTTGTCATCCGAATACTCGGCACCATTGGCTTTTGAAGTGCACCAAACTGAGGCTTATCACAGTGACGTCTTTTCAAATCAACATGTGCGGTATTTTCTTTTCCTGGAGTTACATAGAACAACCTTCGCCGACGATTGCTCTCGATCAAAAATTACACCAGCATAGGCCCAGATAGCGAGGCAGAATCCGACGACCTGTTGACATGCGACTGGCTGGAACAAGAATGTACGCAGTCTGCGCAGCCAGCTTACGACACCTGGCACAATCAGCTGACACCAGCACCCGACCAGCGCCGCCGCCCGTCTTAAACGCGCGCTCAGCCAGCTCACAGCACCAGCACCCAGGCCCACAACACCAGCACCACCGACACCCTTTCGAAAGCGCGCGCGGCCAGCTCATTCTTATTTGCAGCGCGAACCCCATAGCTATCCCTACTTGGGGAATAACAACGTATGATCTTGCGCGTGTAAGTTTACGCGCGCAAACAGCAAAGCCCGTAAGTGTCATTGGCCCAAGGCCAAGCAGTATCCAGCGCCACTATTGACTTTCTAGCGTGCTTGAAGCAACGATCTGCAGAAGGATAAGGCCGTGTGATCTTGCGCGTATAAGTTTACGCGCACAAAAGCATGCGCACAATCGGCAAAGCCCGTAGGCTTCGCTCGCCCAAGGCCAAGGAGTATCCCCGCACACTGCCAGCTCACAGCACCGGCGCCGGCGCCCGCTGTCTCTACCATGCGCACTGCCAGCGCCCAGCACCGGCACCGTGTCTCCACCACGCGTGCACTCACAGCACCCAGCACCAGCACCACAGCCCGCACCAGCACCTGGCACCGGCACCCAGCGCCGGCGCCCTGTTTTCACCGCGCACCAGCACCGGCAACCTGTCTCGAAAGCGCGCGCAGGTAGCTCATTGTTATTTGAAGTAAGAACCCCATAGCTTCGCTATCTAGACAAAAAAATCGCCACATATATGCAAGCTACACCACCAGCACCAGCACCGGCGCCCCGCACCAGCACCAGCACCGGCACCCGGCACCAGCGCGAGCACCAGCAACCCGTCTCCACGTGCGCAGCCAGCTCACAGCACCAGCACCAGCACCGGCGCCCGGCACCCAGCGCCAGCACCGGCACCCGACACCAGCGCCAGCAACCTCTCTCCACCACGTGCACAGCCAGCCAGCACCAGCACCAGCACAGGCGCCCGGCGCCCAGCACCAGCTCAGCACCAGCACCGCCGCCCCGCACCAGCACCAGCACCTGTCTCCACCAAGTGCACAGCCAGCTCACAGCACCAGCACCAGCACCGGCGCCAGCGCCCGGCACCCAGCACCACCGCCACCTGTCTCCGCCCGACACCCACCACCAGCACCAGCAACCTGTCTCCACCACGTGCACCGCCAGCTCACAGCACCAGCACCAGCGCCCGCACCAGCACCGGCACCCAGCACCAGCAACCTGTTTAGAAAGCGCACACGGGCAGCTCATTATTATTTGAAGTAAGAACCCTATCCAGCTCACAGCACCAGCACCGGCACCCAGCACCAGCAACCTGTCTCGAAAGCGCGCACGGGCAACTCATTATTATTTGAAGTAAGAACCCCATAGCTTCGCTATCTGGGGAAAAAGAAACTTGGCCTGATTTAAAAGGAGGTGGCAGTAAAAAGAACAATGGAAATGCTGAAGCTCAGAAGATAGTTGGAAAACATGAAGAAAGTAGAAGTAAAATGTATGGCATCCTGGGGACACGTGCGCGCAGCAAATGATTGGCAGATGATGATTCCTCATCGACAGCAGCAGCAGCAGCAGCAGCAGCAACAGCCGAAGACCGTGATTGGGTAAAGATATTTCGCTTAAACGTGAAACCGTCTTTTGGTGCATGACTAGTGTTAAAAATGGCCTTGGGATATGCAGGGCGCTGTAAGTCAAGTGTTGTGTCTGTGTCTCCAGTCTCTAGGCTATGTCTGTGCAAAAACGCTATAATAGACCTATGACATAGCATGTAAACCGGCCTCAGCACGCCGCTCTTCAGTGAGAAGCGCCCGCCAAGCTTCCGGCGCAACCCACAGAGACACGGCCTGCCATTGCGTAGGCGTAGACTCACAACGCCCCGTCTGCAACCTGACAACGCGCCTGCTTTTGTGCATCTTCCCAGTCGCCTTCTTCACACTGGTACGACACCAAGCGAAAGGCCTGGCGCGCAAAGCAACAACGGCTAGTGCGGCTGGAGTCAGAACAAGTCGCGGTGGGGCACCTCGTCCACGCGGATCTTGACCGCCTGCGCTCCGTCGCTCAACTCATGGATGTGGCATTCCAAGACATTGTCCAGGATGTAGCACCTTGCCAAAAGTGGGGCGCTGTCCTTCCTTTGAAAGATCTTTTACAAGCGCCAGCTGAGCCGTAGACTTGCGAATCAAGACCACGTGGCTCCACGGCCGAGGGAACTCGGAACAACGTGGGCAACATTTCCGCGTCACTCGCTGCAAACAGCACCGTATGCTGAGGCCAAAACCCAGCGAGAAGTTAGAATTGCCCCACGAATGAAAGCAATTTCAACCACAAAGGCCTGCAAAACGAGAGAAGTGATATCAGGTACACATCTTTCTTGAGATCTCTTTGGAAAGTATTCCGTCTTGCAACTTTTCCACTTGACATCTGTTTCTCTGGATAACTATTCTATCGGTGCCACTTTCTCGTGGCATCTTTTTTACTCAGTTTCCCTTTTCGTTTGACATCTCTTGATCATGGAACCCCTGTCTCTCGTCATGCCTTCATATTACATCTCTGTCTCTTCGTTCTTTTTTCCCGAGAGCGCCTGCGAAGGGTTCTTCGTAAAAAACATCTGCAGAACTACGTCTCATCAGCTACATCTTCACATCTTCACCTCTGCACATCCACATGCTCAACTATATCTCTGCTCATCTTCACATCTACATTCACAACTGCACATCTACATCTCTGCACATCTTCACATCCTCACATCGACATCTCTGCTCATCTTCATCTTTATACATCTACATCTCTGCTCATGTTCACATCTGCACATCTACATCTCTGCTCATCTTCACATCCTCACATCTACATCTCACATCTTTACCTCTCATCTACATCTCACATCTTCACCTCTCGCTCTTCTTAACTTTCTCTCTTAAGGCTGGGGGCAGTGCCGCCGGACCGCCACGAAACGCAACCCTCTGCGGAGATCGTGCGCGTCGGATGCGCGAAACGGCGCAACCCTCTGCGGAGATCGTGCGTGTCGGATGCGCGAAATACAGGCGAGAGTGCGATTTGCCCCGGTCCGGAGCAACCCTCTGCGGAGATCGCGCACGTCGAATGCGCAAAACGCAGGCGAGACTGCAATTTGGTTTTGTCCGGCGCAACCCTCTGCGGAGATCGTACGCGTCGAAGGCGCCAAATGCAGGCGAGAGTGCGATTTGTCCCGGTCCGGCGCAACCCTCTGCGGAGATTGTGCCTTTCTAGTACAACTTTAAAAGTACGCGGAGCAATCTGTGGAGCTGGAAGCTGAGAACTGGCGACTTTGTAGT